TTTGGGAAGTTTTACTATTCATGTAAGATAGAAAAAAGGTTAAAAGCTGCTTATTTTAGATAAATTGTGCGAGTATACCTATCGGACAAATTTTCTGGGAGATCTTTTGTGTGCCGTACACCGTTGCATTCGTATTAAAAATACTACTCAATACAGTAGGTATGTACTTCTTTTACGGGCCATATAAAAAAATAAAATTGATGATTTCTCCAAAACGATACGCTGTATTGAAAAGTCTCACAACAGTGCCTTGTAGAGCTCAAGAAGTGGCAGTGAGAAAGTGTTGTTTTTATTTGTTGTATCTGTTCATAAGAAAAAACTAAAAACGAAATCGGTAACTCTTTAATTACTATGGAGGAATTACTCAATATTGACTGCATGTTGGAACATCTAACACTTTCAGAAATTACAGCCTTCTAATAAGAGGTTTTGTTCTCAATAAAGAACTATACTATATCAAGTGATATCATAGGCGCGTTTGTCACAAAAAGTTCACTTTTTTCGCATTTGAAAATATTTCCAAAAAGGCATTTTTAAATTCTTGCAATTTAAACATACTTTAATAGCATTTTCGTTTTATTTATGTAATGATTAGAAATATTCTTAATTTTAAAGTAATTATACTTCCCTCACAGCAGCTATCATCATTACAGTAAGAACCAAAATGTTTCAAAACTCAAGAACCCATCAAAATAAGCCTCCTACGTAGGTATCAGGAGTAAAATCGACGCCCAAACCACTATTTCCGCAGAAAAATCAAGTAATAGTGACGCAATTAAGCATTAAACAAATGAAGGAAAAAACAGAACACATACAATTCAGATGACCAGCGAATAGCCAATACCCTCGCTCAGCAGTTCCTTGAAATCAACCCAGCATTCCCAATTTTAGCACTTAAACTTTTACAAATATCAATATTATTTGCCCAGAAAACTTCCTTCTTTGGCGCATCTCATCAAAGGAAATGGAAATATACAAGAAATCATTTTGAGAAAATAATTACTTTATTCTAAATTTTATTAATAAACTATAACGTTTACCATCTACAATTGCTTTAGCTTTACAAGAGTGGTGTTCCGTAACTGGAATGAGGAACGGTTGGGGCTGGGTAAACTGGGGCGGGAAGCGCAATTTTTGGTGCTTCGTAAACAGGAGCTGGCACTTCAATTTTAGGTGCAGCGTAAACAGGTGCGGGAATGGGAAGAGGTGCGGGTAATTCTACGTTTGGAGCGCTATAAACTGGAACCGGTTCTGGTACTGCAATTTTGGGTGGACCATAAACTGGAGTGGGTGCTAAGTATGCAGGAGCCGGTACGGGGAGAGGTGCTGGTAGTTCGATCCTAGGTGCAGCGTAGACTGGTGCGGGCACTTCGATTCTTGGAGCGACATATACTGGTGCGGGTATCTCAATCCTTGGTGGGCCATAAACAGGCGTAGGGGCTGCGTATACGGGAGCAGGTGCCGGTACTTCGATCTTAGGCGCTGCGTAGATGGGGGCGGGAACTGAAAGTGGTGCAGGTACTTCGATCCTTGGAGCAGCATATACAGGTGCAGGTACCGCGATTCTTGGTGGACCATAAGCAGGCGTAAGGACTGTGTATACGGGGGCAGGTGCCGGTACTTCGATCTTAGGCGCTGCGTAGATGGGGGCGGGAACTGGAAGTGGTGCAGGTACTTCGATCCTTGGAGCTCCATACACTGGAGCCGGTGCGATGAGAGGTGCAGGTGCTGCGTATACGGGAAGAGGGCTCGGAAGCGCAATTCTTGGTGCTGTATACACCGGTGCCTCGTAGGTGGGAGCAGGGACTGCAATTCTTGGTGGACCGTATGTGGCTGCTGGTGCTTCTGCCCTTGCGTAAGCAAGTAAGGCTCCGAACGTAATTAATATCACCTAGACATTAACAGTTAGTACTGGAACATATTTGTCTGAATTATACTTACAGAAGTTTTCATGTTTCTAAGAATGAGTGTCAAATGATAATAGACACCTAAAAACATTGCCCCCTTATATAGGTGTCACTTCACGTTGTTATTATGTAAATAATTACGAGAAAATTCCACAAATCCATTAAAATTCATTCATATAAGAATAGATGCCATCGATTACCTCGAAGGGGTTTTGTCGGAATTTGAAAGTCTTATGGATTGGTTATAGATAAGAAATGTGGTTTAATCGACCGTAGTTTACGAGAGCTAATTATTTAATTAAAAAATATGATTGAATTGATGTTTTAAGAATAAATGACGGTAGGTAACTAGCATGAATAATGAAATTTTGCACTGGAAAATGATATAATTCCCTCTACTGATTTATGAGTGAATACTCATCTTAAACATGTTCATTGTTTTTCGCAAACAGAGGATCAACACAACATGAAAATCAACTTTGTAGTAATTCTACTCGATTTGGATCCTCAAATTATTTAAAAATAAGGCCGTAATTTTGTCAGTTTGAATCAGTCAACAGTTATAATTAAAGAGGATTATCAAACGGCAAGTGCTTGTGTTGTCCATTCAACGTGATCTAGAGAAAATGTAGATATAGCATGAATCGAGGGTCAGAAGGGCGTACAAGTGATAGCACGAGCCCTCCCTTTTTGTGGATTGGGATAAAAACAAAATAAGCAACTTGCACACAGAAATTTGAAAGCTGCATGATTATAAAATAATAAAATTATCGAAGTCCTCGTGTGAGATCGAAGAGACTTCAGCGCATTCCTGTATGGCAGTAAAAAACAAAATTCCGTCACGCAGGAGTTATGCACGTTTATGAGATCTCTCTGACGACGCTAGTTTCAAAACAATCAAACTGAAAAATCACCACGTTAGTAAACCAAACTCGGGGATGGCGCCTAGATGTTGCCGACACCACATAATGTAGCCCCAGCCCTAAAGTTATTAATTACACGGTCCGGTAGGTACACGTATACTCCTGGTATTTCTACAAGCATTCTTCTACGAACCCTCATTTACGGCCAACTAGCCGCCCCGTCAAAGTGAGATGAAAAGCTACATTTTAACAAATAAATTTGCAAAAATCAAAAAAATAGATGGAAATGGAAAGGGTACGGAACGATTGTTTTTGATTGAATATAATGAATACCTATACAGGATAATTTAAACCAGACAACTTTTAGCCGGAGGGATTATTACGTATGGGGTACAGAAAAAACAGTAATACAGAGTTCCGAATTAAATTCTTAGTCCTCGAAGTTATATTTGTGATGTTCATATTTATAGTTTAAGAGATTTTGAGATGTTGCAGTTCTTCAATACCTTGGGCGCGAATTTGTTTACTATTTTTCTCGTATTTTACTTGTCACCCTTAATAATCCCTCCAGTAAAAATCTGGGAGTTTAAATCACGTCTTTAGGTACTAATAAAATACCGCCATGGAGGGTGTACGGACAATTGGAGCCCGAATAATTCAATTCGCTCCCGGACAATTCGCTCCCAGGACTTTTCGCTCTCAGAATTCCTAACATTTCCCAACAAATTTCAGCACTTTTTGAGGATGGCTCGCAAAAGATGCACGTTGAACTCTCGGTTTATTTGAAAAAAGTGCTTGATTTGATCCCCTCATCACCCAATTTTTTACATACTTACTTATATGTAACACCCTATATAATGCAAGGAGATGTGTCTCGTTTTGACCATATATCTACCCTTTGAGAGTACCTTCTCTGACACTTCGTCCTGTACATATTTGCACTAAAAGTTTTGACTTTACCAATAGATGTGCCTCGTCCAGATGGTTCATTTTGCCTTGTGAGTACTTCCCTCCAACAAACCATTTTCGAGATATTCGTTTTTAAAGTGTTGACATCACCAGTGAATGTATTTCTTCGAGACGTCCTAATCTTTCTTTGTTAGTCCCCACCCGATCTCGGTTTCGGCCCTGGTTTCGGCTCACTCAGGACTAGTATGGAGTCGGTATTTCCTGACCGGAACCTTATACCAGCTGCTGGGTCTCACACTCCGTTTAGCTTTGTTAACAATTTCCTCGACAATTTCCCTTTGGATTCCTTAAGAATCTTTACGAATTGTTAAAAATGTTTATAAAACCGGAAAAGGCGAACAACTGACATGTTGAAAGTTTCAAATTTTAATTTTTGGTACCTATGAAAAAAGTTACAAACGTCCTATTCCTAAATTTGCGACAATTCAAGCCCTTAACCGGCTCTGTGAGTCTAATAGTTTTGGAGATACAGCGTTTCAAAAATTCGTAAATTCTTCAGTTTTAATCAAATTTGCATTTTTTTCGCATAAAAACCTCATAAACATTTTTATAATTTTGTTCGTTTGGGGGGACTTTGTGGTGAGGAGTCCATAAATCCGCACAGAAAGAGCTAGAATGTTGATATCCTCTGGATCCTCAGCTTCTCCCATGATAAGAAAGTTGTCATCTTCTTCTTCTTCAGCAAGATCCACGACCTGTTGCATGAATTGCGAAATCTGTGAATGTTTTCCTTTTGCCTGACCTTGCTCAACAAGGGACACCGAATATAGAAGATCTGTGACAGTAGCAGAAAGCAGGTCGCACAGGTCTTTCAATGTCGAAAACTTGGGTTTTTCACATCCATATTGATCCTAACAATTTAAAAGGAAAAATAGATATGACATATTATCTGATGCACGGAATGTCCCTTTTTTTGTCTAATTTGACTGTACTATAGAGATACTTTGGGTCTGTGTATACCTCGAACATAGTCGATGCATCTTCTAAACGAAAATCCTTCAATTCAAAGCACTTTTGAACATTGCCGAAAAACATTCGTGTTCACCATTTACCAAAATAATGAACGCATGTGCAACTGGATTAAATCTGCGCAAGCGAATTCACAGACGTCAGCCAAATGACAGAGTAATTCCTATTTAATAGCGGTGACATGTACTGAAGGATTTTCCAAGCAATTATGAAAAATTAGTTAAAAAACGAGTTTATTATACTAAGACAAAATAAATACAAATTGCATTAACTAATAAATTAACCCATGGACAATTTTTGGCGCACTGTATGGTGACGATGGTGAAATTTAAAACGTTTTTGCCAGCGTCAAGCCGGGTGGTAAATCTAGTGCGGGCGGTTCGTACGGCTTAAGTAGTACTGCCCTTAAAGGTAATCCGTATTTTGTCGAAGGAAGGGATCGTGGGTATGGAGCTGGTTTTGGTGCGGGGTACGGTTTAGGACTAGCGGGTGCAGAGGTGGTTGGTGGCTCGTATTGCGGTTGAGGTGCTGGATACGGGGCTGGTGGTCCATATTTCGCTTCCAAAATAGTAGGCAAACCATACTCTGATTGTGGAGCCGGGGGAGCAGGAGCTGGGTACGGAGCTGGGCGTGCCGGTGGGTAAGGCCCCGTAGATTCGGAAACTGGAGCGGGATATGGTGCCGGACTTGACGGAGCGGGGTATGGTTTAGAACTGACAGGTGCGGAGGTGGTTGGAAGCCCATATTCAATTGATGGTAATCCATATTCTGGTTGTGGAGCCGGAGGGGCGGGAGCTGGATACGGAGCTGGGCTTGCAGCTGGATACGGTGCCGGACTAGAAGGTGCAGGGTAGGGTTTAGGGCTGGCGGGAGGGACAGGCGGTCCGTACTCTGCTGCTATTACTGTAGGCAATCCATATTCTGGTTGTGTGGGTGAAGGTGGTCCATACTCTGTTTGAGGTGCTGGGTAAGGAGCTGGGCTTGGTAATCCGTACTCCAACTTTGGTTCCGCTGGCGGTGTAGGTGAAGAAGATGGTGGGCCATACGCCGCTGCTAAAACTGTTGGTAAGCCATATTCGGGTTGGGGTGCTGGTGGTGGTCCATATTCGGTTTGAGGTGCTGGGTAAGGAGCTGAGCTTGGTAACCCGTACTCCAACTGTGGTTCAGCTGGCGGTGTAGGTGAAGAAGTTGGTGGGCCATACGCCGCTGCTAAAACTGTTGGTAAGCCATATTCGGGTTGGGGTGCTGGTGGTGGTCCATATTCGGTTTGAGGGGCAGGGTAAGGAGCTGGACTTGGTAATCCATACTCTAACTTTGGTTCAGTTGGTGGTGCAGGTGAAGAAGATGGTGGTCCATACTCTGCTGCTAAAACTGTAGGCAGGCCATATTCTGGTTTTGGTGCTGGAGGTGGCCCATATTCTTGTTGTGGTGCCGGATATGGCGCTGACGTAACGGGTGGCCCATACTCTGCTACGAGTATTGTAGGTAACCCATATTCTAATTTTGGTTCAATTGGTGCAGCAGGTTTTTCAGTGGAAGGTAGTCCATACTCTAATTTAGGTGGTGAAATCGCTGGCGCGTATGGATAAGGAGCTTCGAGTCGAGGAAGCGTGTAAACAGGTGCCGAAATTGCAAGTACATGGGGCGAAAAAGTACCAGTAAGAAATGTTCCACCATTCACAGAGGTTGCGACCACCAAGATCACAAAGCAAACCTAAAAGAATCGGCAATTAACACTAAAATAGAAATGAGTCTAAAATACTTACGTGTGTAAATTCCATGTTAACCATCACATTTACACGTTCACAATGAAATGATTTTAAATGGGATAGGTATGCTGTTATATTTATAATATTTTAAACAACAATAATTAGCTTTACAACCCGCCTACAGGTGCACTTAACATTGCAGGTACCATTCCCTGGTTATACAATCGGTTTAACTGGACCAATCATTTTTTTAAAATGTTGTAAATTTCAGCGAAAGCTAAGCTGATCTTTTTAAATTATCCATTATTTGCCGGTATTACCAAGAGTAATCCTAAATCATCAGCTTAGTTATCTTAGACCTCTCAAAAAATATGTTGGATGGCGGGGTTCCCAATGAATATCAGTCGCATCGGCCTACTGTAGGTACCTACTGTATGCCAAAATAAAGCTTACAGAATAAGCTCTAGTGTTACTGGCTAGTAATTGCATCCGGCTGGATTCAATTAGGTATTATGTCATTTTCGACAAAATTTTGCAATAACATTGCGTACATAACTACAAATCCAGGAATTTTTAGTGAACTTTCTGCTTAAGGCAAAATGATTAATTAAACGTGGTTTACAGTATTGGAGAAAAGAGGTAATTTACTCATGGACATTTAAACTTATTACAAGAACTTCACTTGGTACTTTCAAATTTGTGATTAAACTTGTTCTTAGGACTACAAATTAGTGGTGAAGGTGAAACGGATATAATAGGAGTAAAAAGAAATGTTTGACCAAATGATGACAAGTAGCTCTCCATTAAATAGTACCAAGAAGAGACACATCATGCATTTTTCGTAAAGAATGCGTATTAAAACGCAATCCGTGTAGCATTGTTAGAAGGAAAACTGATGGAAAACACGTTCGGATACGCATACCGAATCATTTACGCAGTGGTTTTTTTCATTATTTTTACTAAAAGAATTTAGTAAGTTATCCATAATTACATTCAAGATTCTTATCTTTACAATTACAAAACATGTAAGTACCTACATAGGTAATTAATTTGTTGTTACATGTCTTCATTAAATGCGAATTGATTGGTTGATTCCTGTTCCACATACACATACTTTTTGTACAGGATAGGGGAAGGGAGATGAGCATGGATTAATACTGAATTAAAACCCCTGCATCATTGATCCAGTGACAAGATGACCAGGGCAAAATTTTGATTCATAAGGCCGATGTCGTGAGATGTCATTGGAACGTATTACTCTCTTTTCTAAGCAGAAAAGTTGTACATTACAGTTTACAAAGTATATAGCTCCTCTTCGACACGGTTTGCGTCGTTAGGGAATGAGTTTAATTCTCAAACGCTTTCTCTTCCTTCTGAGCCTTGAATCTCACGGGCCTTCTCGGTCAAATGGGTTAAGTTTCCATTTCTGTATCAGCACCCTATATTCTCAAAGCGGTCACTATGTAATATACTCTCAATAGCTTCTGTTTTTTCAAAAATTTTTGAGAAGGTGCTTAAAGCCCAAATTTTAAATGATACCGGGAGGGAAAGTCAACTACCAACGCAATACTGAAATTAACCGACATATGGCCGTTTGCACCGACAAATTTAAGTGGAGCTTAGCTTAACCGTAGCTTAAAATCCATGGCAACCATTGTCTCAATAATCGTTGCCATGGAAATTAAGCTAAGCTCCACTTAAATTTGTCGGTGCAAACGGCCAATAATCTTAGATTGCTACGAAAATAATGAATTGTGCATTGCCAACTTCTTAGATCGCACAAAGGTATTTGACTGTGTTGATCATGTCCTCGATCATGTCATTTTATTAAATAAACTTGCCAAATACAATTTCACTCATAAAAGGATTTCAATTGCTTAAAATCTCAACTTAAAGATATTATGTGTGATGTGCCGCAGGGCTCAGTTCTCGGTCCCATACTGTTTTTGATTTACATCAATGATTTGAGTTTGGTACTCCTTTTTGCAATTTACTTCTTTATGTTGACGACACAACTGCAAAACAAGATGCAAAAAATTAAATGACGATACTGACGTTATAAGAAAAATTAAAGAACGGCTTATTGACAATAGACTAAAACTAAATGAAAATAAATCAGTAGAATGCATTTTCAGCCTAAAGCACGTGGACAATATAAACAATCCAAATTGTGGCAAGTTTTTAGGAGTACCTACAGTGTGTCCCAGATCGTGTGAGGATTGCATGGGTCACTTTCTTATTATTAAAGATATAGAATTGGTTAAATACACAATGTTTTCATTGTGAAAGTTCAAAATGTGGAATAGGTTAGACGAAAGTACCTATACGAGATACAAAAAAGAGTTTTATATAAAAGTTACTGTTTTTGATACGATTAATTTAGAATTGATGTCAAAAAAATTCAAGATGGCTACTTTTGAGGAACATTTACCAAATTCCTAAAGTTAAATAGGCCCCATATTAGATTTTTAGATTACTTAATTCTCTTTTCAACGAGCTACCGTAGCATAAGATTAAAAATAAGATTCCGGTTATATCAACGGTTTTTAAATTTTAATCAAGTAGTCTGTGATGAATTTAAAAAAAACAAAACCTATTCGTGGCAACAAAACAATGAAAATAATTCATATTTGTCTATTTGTCTATTGATTTGCAGGAATATTTTATTTCAGTTGGTAGGTTTTTATGTTCGTTTTAGAGAGGTTATAAGGATTTGTTCTTTTTATCTCATTGTTTAAGCGTAATACATCTATTTCAGTTTTTAATGAGTTTTTTTGGAACTACCGTCGCTGTTGTCATCCCAACAGAGGGAGAAAAAAGTTTTAGATTTCAAAGAGAAGCCTGTATGGAAGTTTGCATACACTTTCCAAAATGTGGAGTATCAAATGTTGAGTTAATAATTTTTTTTTCAAATTTTGGTGAGGAACTTCTAATTAATGAAATCATGAGTGAAAGCGAAATTAACTAAATTTTCCCCGATTCTGAACCGATTTCTGCCTGAATTAACGGGAAAGGTAGATCCCCGATGTACTAGAATACATGAAGAGGAAGAAAATTCTGAGAAGAATGTCACCAATAGAACCACGAACCCAAAAATGTATTTCCTACTAGGAACCGTTATGTCGCCCAGAAGGGGGTTTTAAAGTGAACTACCGTTACAATTTGTTTTTCAAGCTGTTCGCTCGGCTACTCGACTTGAAATCAATTCAAGATCAAGTAAGTAGTAAACTAGAAATTGTCTGTCAAATCAAGTCAAGTAAATACCTATTTATGTGTCTCATCCGCTTATTCACTGCTAAAATGGCCTTCGATCGATCCTACTATTACCTATAAGCATTTTAACTTACGGGATCTCGTACGAAAACGATGTCTTATGTGTTGCGGTTCTCATTCACCAGACAATGGAGACCTTGCTCCATCGTCCTTCTTTTTTTCTTGTCTTGGCCACCATTGCCACAACTATTGTTTTTAATTCTGATAGTATTTCGTTCAGTTTGTTCGCATTCCTTTTACCATCATGTCCTTTTATTTCCAGCTGTTGTGTCTAAGCATCAAAAATATTTGGCGGTCGAGTCGCCTTTGGAAGTTCATTTAGCAACACGGGGAGGTCCTACTATGTGAAGCTTTTCGTCATTAGAAGACATAATTAATAGATACAATTATTAATTAGTGTTGCACAGTTAATTATTGTGCAAAAGTATAACACACCAAAATCGCCAAGAGAAAAGTATGCTTTGAAAAACAAATGAATGTGGTAAAATGACATATTTGAACTGGCAGTAACATTAGTTTTTTCATGTTAGTTTATATACATACGGTTTAAACAAAATGAACAACTCGTTGTAAGTATTTGACAAAAACAAAAATTTTATCCATATAAATACCGAGTAATAATGGCATTTTCAATAGACGGAATGTCCACTATTTATCTGGAACCAATCAAGTTTAAATAGAACGTTAAGGCATCAACACAAGGCATCAACACAGTTTTGGTTTTAATATGGGGGCGAATATTTTCGGTGCAAGGATTGTGGGGCCATTTTTTTACCACCATACTTTAACATCAGAGCGCCACTTACATTTACGGTAAAAGATTTAGTTTAGAGGATGCTCTTGTAATTGGATACTGCACATAATTCTAGAGCCATGCGGGAATGTCTTTCAATGCGTTTGCTAGCATTACTCCACAAATGCTGACTAGGGTGAGAAGATGATCTGTCTTTAGAAAATAATGAAAATCTTTTCGAACAGGCAGGCAAAGTGCGAACTGCAGCTCCGTTTCTCACATTGACTGTTGCATTCGTCATTTCGCGAAATGCCTAGGCATTTTGCAAAATGCCGGATTTCGCAATTTGCCGGTAACATATATATGTATATCGAAATTTCAGGGCAGTGTTTGTAAAAAATGAAGTTGATGATGGTTCCGCAAATACGAAACGTCGTGTTAAAATTAACAACTTTACCTTAAAGAGCTTTAAAAGTGGGTGTGAAGAAGTGTCCTTGGTTTAGCTTTACGTCAAATATTAGCGGCAGAAAAAAATATTCCATAAAATTTCTAAACCCTTCCTTCTTAGACCTTTGATTACGCAACTTTTCTCTCATTTAACCATGTCTTACTGACGGTTAACATGACTGATGCTGTGACCGTCAGTTTTTAATCAAATTTAGATAATTGAAATTTTTTACTACATGTGCTCCCCTTAACGCGTTTTACTTGAGAATGGACACAGTGGAGGTCCGAAAGTAGTCGTAAAATTTCTCCGTTTGTATTAATCCTGAATTAAAGTATTATGGGGAGATATTGGTATAAGATTCACATCAACCCCATTTTAAGATGGATCCTTGGTTTACTTGTGGTACTTCAGATAGATAAACTTATTTTAAGTAAATGGCGTTCCCAAATCAAAATACGCACAGGAATAATTGAAATGTACGTACCTACCAATAAGTACTAATAATCCCTTTCGTCAACTCAAATCACCACTCCACATTATTGTTCACACTTGACACCAAACAATTTCACACCCGCGAAAAAAGATCAGCAACATTTTAATTCGTTCTTTGTTTATAAATTAGTGACGAAAATTGACCATATGCATTATTTATGGCAGGGCCAGTATTGCGGGCGGGAATGTAAATGTAATAATCTACATCCGTTAAACCGGAACTGCGGCCTTATGCTGACACAATACTATTCGACCGGAACAAACGAATTCCTAACTGTTCGACTTTTGCAGACGGTTACTCTTTGGATTTGTACCATGCATAAAGGCATAAGTAGCTTCTTTTTATTGTGCCTAATTGAAAGTTTAAAAAAACCTGCATTTTGGACGGGAGGAGCTGTTCAAGGGCGTTGATTTATAATTCAAACGTATTTTATTGTGACGCATCCGGTGCGTGAAATTTTTCTAGTTTAACTAAAAGACAAACAGAAACATTGGTGCAAAATAAAGATCAGCGTCCTCATCTATGGTATGGATGCAGAAGAAATCAAACAATTGCTTGTGCATTTCCCGTGAAAATTTGCGTGTAATTATGGAATCAAAATTCAGTAATGTAATTGGGTTGGGTAAGTTGGGTTGGATTCAATAGCACTATAGCAGAGTGAAAGGATGTTGAGCGTGTATCTAC